TGATCAGTGGTTAAAACAGTATAGTAGACTACTTACATAAAGTGCACATAATATCAGTTGTCGCTATAACTGGCTGCATTTTCATATCATATTTACCTACTATTTTTAAATAATATTGCATGATCCCTTTAACAGTTCTCTGATTTTGATGAGAAAATGGTGTAACGACCACTTAAATCTGTGCCTAGACTAAAATTGATTTGACTGAATGCCATTGGAATATCATATCCAGCATCATATTCGATACGCAAACTTCAGTGGCTTCAAAATTACCAACAGAATAAAACTTTGCTCAAAAACCCTGTTGTACACAATCTACATCCCTTCTGTTGTCTGATTGATAGTTTATACTTTTTTAGTAAATGACCTTTTAGTATACTTGTAAAAATGTCCATATTCCATGGTATTCCAAATCTTCCAAATGTTTGATTTCAACTAAGTGTATATTTTATATTGTTAGTTTAAGATTTTTTTTTAGAAAAATCATATTAAAATGTGAGTATCAGATATGATACATCAGGAAGCTGAGCTAAAATCAGTACAGATGGAGAGGTAGTCTCACCAGGATGTAGTCTGCCCACTGAGCCCTGGCCGCTGCGAGTGCAGCCTGCCTCAGCTTCATCACATGAGTGAACCGAGACTCCGGCCAGTGCTTGGGACCCAGTTCATCCACATAACTACAAATATATTGAACGAGAACGGAAAGCTTTACAGAGACACAAAATGGGTCCTCTTTGGTGAATATATGTCAATTTTATGTTACTTATGGCAGAGAGAATAGTGAGTGATGTAGTGCTTTGAAATTTAGTGTAATGTCATGTATTTTCACCTGTCCTCCTCCTCCACGGTCTGCAGATGTACTGAATGATACAAATGCTCCGCTCCAGACAGCCATGCATGCAGCACTGCAGTGGTGTTGTCAATATTGTGGTCGGTTGCGGCCCTGACATATAAGAAGTCCACTTTAGGACCAGAACTAGCCCATGTTGTATTTTTCTTTTCAACATCATCATCTTGCCATGCAAAACATTTATTCAGTATACACTACTGTTCAAAAGTTTAGGGTCAGTGAGTCATTTTTTCAAAGAAATTAATACTTTTATTCAGAAGGGATGCATTAAAATTGATCATTAGTGACAGTAACGATATTTCTATATTTATAATCTATTTCAAATAAATACTGATCTTTTGGCCTTTCTGTTGATTAAAGAAAGAATCCTGGAAAAAAAGTTAAACAGTGAAAACTGAAAATTCCACTTTTTCATCACAGAAATAAATGACATTTTAAAACATATTAAAATAGAAAATAGAGACTTCTAAAAATCTTATAGACGCTATAATAAACTATATCAACTTTTGAATGGTAGTCAGTGCACAAAATTGTTATTCAAGTCAGACCTTAAGCAGCTTGCAATCATAATAGTTTGTTTCATTACTCCTATAAATAGATTGAAATGAAGATGGCAAGTGATAAACGTAAAATAAGTCCACTACTTTAGTAGATTATTATTTTTTATTTATAATTCTTTTTTCAGACTGGCTTCCAGGAACCCTCAGTACACAAAATGCAAAAAAAAAATAAATGATTGAATTAATAAATTATATTAAGTAACTTTAAAAAAAATAATAATAATAGTTTTATTGAACTATATAATTACAAATAAAGAAACTACAGATTTATTATAAAATGTATTAGATTTTATAGAAATAAATTATATAAGAAAATATACGTGGTCACATTTTTGCCATTTATTGGAGTGGCAACCCCCTGCACTTTCTTCTCCATTTCTCCTTTTACCCTTTCCCACATTCTTTCACTTCACTGTCATATTTACTTTTCAAGCTTTCCAAGATATTTCAGGCTAAGATGTCATTTAAAGCCCAGAGCTCACTTCAATGTGCGGTCAAATACAAAACCACACATGTATATCTTAGACTGTGTGATAACTTTCAGCAAAAACACATTACAATCCCATAGTTATTAATAAACCAGTAATCATGCACCTCCAAATATGGGTTGATATAAAAATGCATTCATCAAAATTGAAAGCAATATCAAATGATATATGTAATATTCTGTTAAGCTTTACAAGAATGAGGGCTGATATTGATGCAAGTCTTCATGAAATGTTATATGTCTGTTCCTACCTTCAGCTGATAGCCTATATCTTCCTATTAAAAAGCAATTATTTTGAAATTAACGTTCAAGAATTTGAAAGTAGATATTCCACCAAAATCGGTTACCAGATAGAGATGCGGTCCTTGGGATAATCCAGTCTCTCAATACATCCCAGAAAATAAGGAAGACTGTGCTCACAGTTACGGGCCAAAACCGCAATAACTACTTTGGGCTTGAGTAGAGATGTCTCGTGCAGAACAGGCTCCAGGTCAATGAGTGTATGAATAAAGCCAATCCATGTCTCTAACAGTAACAGTCCCAACAGAAGCTTCCCAGATGCTCTCAGGTCCGTCATAGTGTCTGAATGTGCAGAAGCACGCCGTACTATAGGATACCGGTGAGAGAGGTGAAGACTCACTGACTGCGGAGGTTTGAGTTTGCTTAGCCTACATTATACGCAATGCAAGTACACTCATTTGAATGGAAGGATAAGCATAAGCATGTATAAGCAAAGCAATGGCTAAATAAAGGCACACAGCTAAAATAAAACATTTATTAGTGCAATTCATTGTACAGAATGATAAAAAAAATCAATTTTTGATGCATTTTCAAATCCACATTGACTAGTCTTCACTGATCGCAAGGTATTTAATGAAAATGCAATTGAAAGGTCTTAAGTGTAAGTGTCAATGCATTTAAGAAAAACAAAAGAGATTGAAATCACCATTTTTGCAACCATTTTGCTGCACATTTGGCTCAGAATGAAATTCACACTGCATTTTGCTACAATTATCACACAGTATCATGACATAAAATGGCATTTAAATGATAATTGTGCTACAGTTTTTGCTTGGACATGTTAAGCATATCTAATCAATTTGGGTAATACAATTTCATTTAAATTTTGCAACTTATAAAGCGTTAAAATATGTTTTTAATTTACATATTAAAACTAGTGTAGAAAATGGCAAATGCAAATTATATAATTGAATTAAAAAAAAATGATTTTGCACTAAATGTTGCACATATGGTATGGGGAAAATGAGAAATACAATTGCCATTTTACATATTGCATTGTCATTTTGCATATTACATATCAAAATTAATTTTGCTACCCATATTCCATAGTATAGTACCTTTTACACTTGTTTCGTCAAATGTTTTGTGTTATATATGAAGAGTTTATTTGCAAAAACAGATAACTCCGTTTTTAACCATTTTCAAAAATCATGTTTTTTTCATTGTGCATTCCAATCAAACTGCAGTTGGGTTATTTTGATTAAGTAAAAATAACAACAACAACAAAAATACAGCTAATTAACACAATAAAAACATGATAGCAAAATTTTAAATTTAGAGTTATCTATGTTTTTTGTGCAAATAAACTCTTCATATATTTTTATATTTTATATAGTTTCATGTCTAACATAGTTTCATAGTTCTATTGTCTAAATGTTAAAATAATAATATTAAAACTAGTGTAGAAAATGGCAAATGCAAATTATATAATTGAATTTAAAAAAAAAATGATTTTGCACTAAATGTTGCACATATGGTAGGGGGAAAATGAGAAATACAATTGCCATTTTACATATTGCATTGTCATTTTGCATATTACATATCAAAATTAATTTTGCTACCCATATTCCATAGTATAGTACCTTTTACACTTGTTTCGTCAAATGTTTTGTGTTATATATGAAGAGTTTATTTGCAAAAACAGATAACTCCGTTTTTAACCATTTTCAAAAATCATGTTTTTTTCATTGTGCATTCCAATCAAACTGCAGTTGGGTTATTTTGATTAAGTAAAAATAACAACAACAACAAAAATACAGCTAATTAACACAATAAAAACATGATAGCAAAATTTTAAATTTAGAGTTATCTATGTTTTTTGTGCAAATAAACTCTTCATATATTTTTATATTTTATATAGTTTCATGTCTAACATAGTTTCATAGTTCTATTGTCTAAATGTTAAAATAATAATAATAATAAAAACACTTTCAATAAAGAGCAGGTTCCCAAATGGACAACTTGCCCCCATAGAATATGGCTCAATGTGTATTGAAAAAGTTGCATTTATGAAGACTGACCAGCAGATGGAGAAAGTGATGTGTCTTTAAAATTATGCTTCTGCTCCAATATCAGACTAATATTATGCATTCGAAACAACATGAGGGTGAGTAAATGATACCAGAATTTTCATTTTTGGCTAAACTATGCATTTAACAAAATATTACAAGCACAAATGTTAAGATAATTTGCTGAAAGCTAGAATCTACACACTGTTGGCAGTGGCTTATTATTGTATATTGCTTACATTATTTAGGTTTCCACAGTGTTATTGCACAGTAATGCTAGACTGACATTAGGCTTTTACAGTGAATGTAATTAAATAGCCAAAATATTGTGCATTTTGTTAGTACTAAAGTGATCACAAATGCTTTGCAATGGTTTCTATCCACCCTTCCACTCATCCATCCATCTACAACATGAATCATCACAATTATTAAAAAAAAAGTCCAGTGGCAGGTGTTTTAAAAACCCACAAGTTTGAGATGTTTTTATTTCTTATTTCTCTGTAAACAATGCATTGCACAAGCCATTCTAGATTTCCTAACCCAGGACTGAAGAACAATACTGTCTAAAAGTGCTTTGTAAACTTTCCTTTATGATCTTTTCTTCGTCTTACGTATTTTGCCCGTAATTTGCATCAGCGCTTGACCCAGGAATGTGGCAGAGGCTTTTACAGTGAATGTAATTAAATAGCCAAAATATTGTGCATTTTGTTAGTACTAAAGTGATCACAAATGCTTTGCAATGGTTTCTATCCACCCTTCCACTCACTCATCCATCCATCTACAACATGAATCATCACAATTATTTAAAAAAAAGTCCAGTGGCAGGTGTTTTAAAAACCCACAAGTTTGAGATGTTTTTATTTCTTATTTCTCTGTAAACAATGCATTGCACAAGCCATTCTAGATTTCCTAACCCAGGACTGAAGAACAATACTGTCTAAAAGTGCTTTGTAAACTTTCCTTTATGATCTTTTCTTCGTCTTACGTATTTTGCCCGTAATTTGCATCAGCGCTTGACCCAGGAATGTGGCAGAATGCGGATCGTGGCTTTGCTATCACGGGTCATGAGGCGTGTAACCTGATCCAGGGTCAGTCCAGCTACGATTTCCCCATTGACTTCTAGAATCTCATCTCCAACGCCTAGGAGTCCAGTGTAGATGTTCTCCGTGGCACTGTCTCCGACCCGTTCCACGTATATACCTATAAAACCAGCATAACTGATTTTCATAAAATACCTCTAAATGATTTGAAACATCTCAAATAGTTTTTTTTTTTTCAGTGTCATGGAGGCAAATGTGGAGGAAGTAGAAGTCTAACCTGAGCCAGGTCTTCCTTTGCCCCTGGAGATGACGAAGCCAAAGGGTCTATTGTTGGCAGGTCTGGAAAGTTCTATCAGTAAAGTCCCGTCAGGAAAGGCCTGCACCAGCCGCCCTAGTGGACCTGCTCCTCGAGAATCCTCTAGTGACTCCTCTATGTTCTCTATCTTCTGAAGCTCCCTGAAACACAGGTATCAACAGCTCAATCATAAAATCGACACATATTCAATATGGTTTTACAGCAGAATCAAGAGATCACTAGCTGAGGCAAAAAATATGTCTTTATTGCTAAAAATGTATAGAGATATTAGCACGCACACAATATTACAGACCTTGGTGCCAAACTCAGTGGCAGTGGAAACTCTCCTAAAATAGTGGAACGTTCAAACTTCCTCTTTGGGGACTGTAGACTCTGGACAGAAGATGCTTTACGTAACTGAGCCAAAGGAGACTCCTGATGGCAGAGAGCAACATCACAGCTTTGAACTTTTACTTTTATTACAGAGTGAATCTCACAAAAACATGTCATATTTCACCTCAAAACGCTACCGTTTTTACAGATTTTTTTATGTTTTCGGAAAAAGTCTCTTATGCTCACCAAGGCTGCATTTATTTGATCAGTAGTAAAAACTGTAATATTGCGAAATATTATTACAATTTTAAATAACGGTTTTCTATTTTAAAGGGGTGGTTCACTGGTTTTTTCTAGGCTTAATTGTGTTTATGGGGTGCAGTCTAACATGTGTTAGTGCTTAGTTTAAAAAAAACGCATTATTTTTCACATAATTTACCTTTATTCCACACCGCTCTGTCCCTTCTCTGAGAAACGGGCTGATCTTTTCCTGTTTTTAAGAAGCCCATCCCTCAGAAATAGGCGATGGGCTCTGATTGGTTAGCTAGCCCAGTCTGTTGTGATTGGCTAAACCGCCTCTAGTGCGTGTCTTAACGTCCCGCCCCTCACCTCAGCAGCATGTGCTCGGGTTGTATTGTAAACAACGGCGTCGATATTATTGAAGAGGATCATCCAGAACCTGTGCAAGCACGGCTTTTAATGGTAGGCCTATGTTTTTTGTTTGTTGTTGTCTCATTCTTCTAGATACGTAAATGTGTAAATGCTACTGCTTATGTTAGCTTTTACTATACGGTTTTATCCTGATTAAAGCTTTAATACAGTACGGCAACTGCACGCACGTCCATGTATAACAAAATTAAAAGCACCTCTAGATTTATACGTGCACCTCTAGTTTTCTCTTCTCTAAAGCAGCGCAGCATGGCCTCGCCCCCTTTGCTGCCTTTTCCCGAGGGCGGGGTTTATCTGGGTTTGTGATGTCATGAACCCGGGAAGACCCTCGTTGTAGTCTCTACCAGACGTTTTTGTAGGCATTAAACCGCCAGAATTTTAAAAGACCATATCTCCGTTTGCATTGAACTTTCAGCTTCATAACTTTGCAGGTATTGTTTATGCTCAAACAGCAACATTACACACTAACTAACGCTAAAAAAGTGAAATCGCAATCAACCACCCCTTTAATCTATTTTAAAATGCAATTTATTCCTGTGATGGCAAAGCTGAATTTTAAGCATTCTCATTTTCGCACTTTATTGTTTCAATCACATCAGCATATAACAAATACTAGCATTGTGCATAAATATTTTGCAATATAAATAATAGGCTATGTCATTGTTTCTTTTCATAATAAGAATCAAGGGGTAATTGTCATGAAAGTAATACCAATAAAATGCAAGTAGACTATTTTACAGTCCACATGTACATACTATGTGCTTATAATACCAATTACAATAACTAATAAATAGGTACTAACCCTGAACCTACCCCTAAACCTATCCTTAACCCTTGTAGTTACCTTATACTACCTGTATTTTCTTGGGTAAGTACATTGTAAGTACACGTACTGTAACACCAACCAAAATGCATATTTATTGTGATTTTAGGGTAAAATATGACCCAGGCTGGTTTTGTTATATTCACTCTATTGGTATTAAGGCCAATTCACACTGCACCAACATACACCGACTATCACCAGATTACCGTTAGGTCACTTCTCAGACATTACACGACCTGACAAACAGTGACTGAACATGCTCAGTCGGCCAAAACAATCGGCAACCAACAGCAAGAGACACTTGACAACACACTAATCCGACAAAATCTGATGAACGTCTCTGTTACTGTGGGTTAGCATCTGTCTGTGTGAATTAGCCTTCAGTATTCTATTTTCTATAACCTAATTTCCTCAGCAAGTTAATTCAGTAAACATGCATCTTATGTAAATTTGCCTCTTTAAATAGAAAGCAGTTGCTTCCAGTTTGTTCTGTTCGGTCCACAAGACTGATATGTTGTAAGTCTGCAGATGTATTGTGGTCAGCAGATGAACTACATGATATGTTTTGCAATTTCATTAAACAAAGCCAGAGATACAGTCCAAATGATCTCTTATGATATTGCAAGGGTGGGTGCTACTGTTGGTGGACTCTTTAACTCTGTCTTTAACAAAGAAGAGAACTCACTGTGTGGAGAGACTGGAGAGAGGGGGTCCTCTTCAGAGGGATTAGGCCTTTGTGTGTAGGACTTGGGGAGGCAGAACTGTAGCGGGCAGTGGGGGAACACAGGTGCTCCATGCTGTTGGACCGGCTTCCCTTCACCAGCTTACCCATACTGTTCAGTCCCATGGCTGAGAAAAAGCGACGGAGGGATAGCTTAGGACGCCCTTCTCGCTCCCCTGCTCTCCTACACATTAGAGAAAGAAGGAGTCCATAATGGAAGCTGTAAATGACTACAAGATGTTTATCTTATACTTAAACTTAAGTAAATTCTAAAAATTTAGTTTTTTTTTTTTTTACCCAAACACTGGGTTCAGCCTCTTTATTGGGTTATTTACACACTGTTGGTAATTTTTGGCTAACCAGGTTCTGGGTTAGTGGCAGGGTTAGTTTAATTTATAGTAGAAACAATGCACCTTTTAACACATCTACCTAACTGCTGGTTTATCTGTGTCAAACTGGATTGTCATAGGCTAAACCACATGTGCAGGTTACTTTATTTCCTGAACAAGTGCAGACCCGAGTTTGAGTTGCTTTCACATTCACACAAATCATGCCACAATTTCATTGCAATCGAATGCATACCACCTCCTACATGTGGTCTCAGGTTCAGCACTTCGGCGCACTCGCAGGGAACACATGTCAGCTTTCACATGTCAGCTTTCACATTAATTTTTCAAACTAAACTCATGCCTGTTTGGGTTGTTGGCTTTGCACAAATGCAAATGTATTCACAGGGCGTGCAACACAAAGCAATACTACTACTATTGATGTTTTACCTTGCATCAGGGGAGGGATGTGACTACAGATGCGTCATAATAAAAAAAAAACTGCAGTTGCACCCTTGCAGTGTAGACAGCAGATATTCCATTGATTATAATGGAAGCAATTTAGTATGATTGCATTGCGGATGTGGTCATGTCATAGATTACCAGTTTAGTTAATTTTAACCTCCTCTACAGTCAAAAATCTGGGTGTTATATGACTGCAGGAAAGTGGATCTCAAGGGACAGAGTTGAGAACCTCTGGTCTCAGGTTCAGCACTTCGGCGCTCTCGCAGGGAACACATGTCAGCTTTCACATTAATTTTTCAAACTAAACTCATGCCTGTTTGGGTTGTTGGCTTTGCACAAATGCAAATGTATTCACAGGGCGTGCAATACAAAGCAATACTACTACTATTGATGTTTTACCTTGCATCAGGGGAGGGATGTGACTACAGATGCGTCATAATAAAAAAAAAACTGCAGTTGCACCCTTGCAGTGTAGACAGCAGATATTCCATTGATTATAATGGAAGCAATTTAGTATGATTGCATTGCGGATGTGGTCATGTCATAGATTACCAGTTTAGTTAATTTTAACCTCCTCTACAGTCAAAAATCTGGGTGTTATATGACTGCAGGAAAGTGGATCTCAAGGGACAGAGTTGAGAACCTCTGTCTTAAGATATAGCTTACCTAGACACAACTAAACTGTCATCCCAGTGTATTTCAGCCTTTCGGTGCTCTGCTCTCAGAAGTTCTGCCCTCAGGTCTTCTGCTTTGGATGTACCCATAGCTTTTAAAACCGGGCGGCAATCTGAGGGAACAGGTGCTGTGCAAGTGCTTCTGGGTTCTCTGCAGACACCCTCACCTGCCAAATGACCTGATGCACAACAAAAGAATGAGCAAACATTGTTGGAGTCTGAATCGATAAACCAGTTCTAAATCAGGTTGTTTAAACCTGTTGTTCATGTAGATACAGAGTCTCCCTATAGCTAACTTAGGGTGTACTCACACTAGTCACGGTTGCCTTGAACCGAGCCCGAGCACGATTGTTCCTCCTCCTCACTCCCCCACTGGCCTGCACTCATATTGCACTTTAATGTTCCGGGCCAGAGCACGCTTACGTCATTCACGATGCAACTTTTTGTTTTGAAAAAAAAAAAAATGGGAAGCACTTTTGCTAATAGACTGCCTAATAGATTTATAATTTATGCCATGCAGCGATTTTCACTTGATTGCGCTGCACGTATCAGATGATTATTACGCAGACATCTGACGTTGACGGAGGAATTTGCAGCGGTTCATCAATAAGATGAGAACCAGACCCATTATAATCCTAAATATACTTAATTTAATTCAATTAATTGATAAGTGTACTGTAGTAGTACTAATAGAAGATGTATGCGGTCGTCATGATGACAGTAGCGCACACAAAATAGTAGCTGTTCCGTGCTCCGGCGTGGTTAGCGGTCAGACTACATCCGTACCGCGCCTGAGCCCAACTGAACCATGCTCTGGCCCACCTCTTCCAAGCGAGCGAGGGACGGCCAAACGAACCGCGCCCGGGCACAGTACAGAGCGTTCACACTAGTCAAACGAACCAGGCTTTGAGGGTCAAACGCGCTCGGGCACGGTTCAGATCGCCTAGTGTGAGTACACCCTTAGAGCATCAAGAGAAGAACATCAAGGTTTCAGCAGAAAAACTGTCATTAGGTGTGACATCCTGACCAAGATATTTTGAGTCAGCTAGTGGGATGCCACATTTTATCATTTAACCAGGTAAACTTACCTGTGACTAGGTCACCTGCAGAGTCCCATATTGCTATAGCCTGGAGGTCTGTGGTCAGCATAGACGAGGAATACCTGAGAGAGGATAGTTTGTTGCAAGAAGTCAGTCCTGAGGTGATTGGATGAACCTGAGGGGAGGCACTGAGAGTGACACTGAGGTGCTCTTCAGGCAGTATGTTTTCGTGGTGAGAGCTCCCATCCTGCTTGTGGTCAAGGTGAATTAGGCGGTATTGAACTGAGGGCATTAGCTTGACCACCCGTTGCCCTGTCAGCCGACTCTTGGAACTTGATTTCAGAGCCGATTTGATTGGGAGATGGGGGGGAGAGTCCTTGACATTGCTAGAGAGATCCTTATTCTCAAGGTCAGATGAGGTTTCTGTAGTACCTTGTTCAGGCGTCTTCAATTTAGAGCGAGTAGTTTTATCCTCCAGACTTGACCTGGTTTTGGAGTTCCTTCTCTGAGTCCATAGATCCTGACTTCGAGCATACGGACCATTACCGCTTTCAACTCTGCTTTCTCCTTTCCTGCTCCTTCTTCGAAGCTTCCCAAAAGTTGACGTGTTCTCGCCTGCACCTCCTACACCTCCCCGCCCTACACTTTCTGCCAGGCTGACACCTCCAGTGAAAGTTAAACTTTCCATGAAGGTCGGATGGATGGTTCGGCCAGGGGTGACCCATTGAGGGGCAGCCTTCTCCTGAGAATCTACTATACTGTGTGTTAGTTGGGAATGGCAATCTTTGTTCTGTGCAGGTCCCAAGATGCTTCCACAGGCTTCACATGTCCTGAGCATATCGTCCTTTGACACCAAGGCAGCCAGACACTCTCCCTCCTTGGTTAATATTGCAACAGGGATACCAACGTTTACCCAATTTATTGCTGCCCCCCTGCTTTCCTCTGGGATGTTGTACACCGGATCTGCCTTCAGCTGTTGGGTGGAGTGGGATTTCTCAGCCACCACTGGCCCGCGTTCACGCACCCGCTCCAGGTATCGTCGCTCAGCCTCCTTTTCCGACTCATCTTCGAAACGTACTCGCGTGGGCGATTGGCCATTCCGACGTGAGCGCACCCCACGTTCATGGTTCCTGCCCCGGATATCTGGTGACTGAAGAGGTGAAGTAACCTCCTCTTGAGCCGTGACAAGAACAGCACTGTGCAGTGTAGATGACACACTACTCATATGACCCCTTTAAATAAATATGTCTGTGTATCTTTGGATATGGGTCATGACTTTAGAGGGGATTGCTTTGGTTTGTTCACAGTAAAAAAGTTAGTTGTAGATGACTTTTAAAAAGACAACCATGCTGCGAGACAACAACAAGAAGGCAGTAGAAAGTGTTGAGGTGACTTACAGGCCCTCTCTTTGACCAAGGCAGGTGGGGGTTTCACTCTTAGGGTTTTGAGAACGTGCTTTGAATCGAGCTCTTTCCAACAGACGCTTTGCTTGTTCATGACGTGGACTAAGAGTTACTTCAGCAGTGGAGATCAGCGGTCTGTCCAAAGCAGAAAATACATTTTACACTTTCCTGAGTAAGTGTAATGATTATTCAAAATGCTATGAATGATTTTGTCAAATGTTTTCATGTCTCAACAGCCATTTAAAAAAGGCTTACTCCCTATTATTTCCATGAACATTAGACTGTCAGTATGATGAACTTGCACCATACTTCCCACAAATCAGAAATGAACATACAGAATGTCAGAAGCTTAAATCTGTTTTATGTAATCTCTTTCATGGGCATGTTATGTGCAAGCCCTAATCTTTAAATGAAGAGATTTTTGTCTTTCACATGGATTTGTATTCTGACAGGTCTACCACAGCTGAGTGCAAATGAACAACCGTACTCAATAATGTGCTTGATTGAGGACAATGTGTCTTACCTATAGTTAAACACAGGGTCCTTTGTGATGATTGCTGAGTCCCATTCACCTACTTTGTAGGGAGGTAAATCTGTACAAAAACACATACTGTTGTTGAATAATGAACTCAACCCCATTTGGTATGTGTTATATAATTTCAATGAGTCCGCTATGGCCATTCGCTACAAGACCAGACTCAACATCTGATCATTCCTTTTAATTATATTATTATGACATAATATTGACCTAATACATGATATAATATTATATACTGTATGATATCTTACCTTACTTTCACTGATGGTCCATTCGAGTCTGTTACATTTCACAGGTTCAGTTGAATAAATCGCACTGACCCAACATGCAGAATCATTCCTGTCTCTCCTTGCCCAGTAATACTTCAATGGCCAAAACCAACAACAAATGCTAACCGTTGATATGAGGAATTACTCCCATGATGCTCCTCTTCATTCAGCTGTCACCAGCACCGATCACTGTACATCCACTGGTGGTAGGTTCCATCTCTAACCTATGAGCGCTCGCTCAATATTCATGATTGGTCTGTTAATCCCCACAGAAATCAGACGGATTAGGCAAAAATGGAAAATAAATGCGTACTTTAATTCCTTTGATGTCAACTGCAGCATTTCATTGCATAAGTTGGTACAATTCACAGAAATGTTATTTAAAAAGTGCACTCATATGTAAAGGTCACATGTGATAGATCAAGTATTTTGAGAGATGCTAGTGATTGCAATTGTACAAAAAGATAATCTGCTTGGGAAACTTGAACATTTTCCAGTATTGACAAATACAAAAAACTAAAATAATATGTCCTAGATGATTGTTTTATGATCATAATATTCATGAGGCTGTATTATATTTTAATGTCTGTAACACGGAGATACAAAACTCACTCCCTATATGCACTCCCTCTTATGCCATTTGCATACAATACTACATATGCCATCCAAAACAATAATCTGTCAAATTGAAAGTAGCATTCACTGCACCACATTTCAAGCTTCAATATTTAGTATTTAAATTAATATTTAACACTTAAATGCTTAAATACATGTAAAAAGCATAGAACATGTTAGACCATTAGACCAGAACTTAATAATTTTTAATGTAAACTAGATACAGGCCTATATTTAGGTGAAAAATAATGGCAATTTATACATAAAACATTTTCCAAATTTGTTAAATTCCAATATAAATGTTAACAATTCATATTAAAAATTCAAAAAATTGTTAATGCATTTATATGTTTCTGTATGTTTTCGTTTGGTTTATAATTTTTCCCTTTCATTTACATTTTTGTACTGAAATTTGGCTTGTTGTGAAAAAGAATTATACTGTTTCACAGTGAATCTGAAATACGTGCTGTTGTTGAGCAAATGTTTCATATTGGAAGCCCATTTATTAGGAAAAAAATGCTTTAGAAAATCATAATTATGACATAAAAGTATACGATGACATAAAAAGTCAGAATTAAGAAGTAAAAAGTTTATACTTTTTTTTATATATATATAATTTTGACTTATCTTACAAATAATTTTTTTATCTCACAAATATGACTTAATATATCATAATTTCATCTGTTTGTCATAATTGCGACTTTTTATGTCTTAACTTTTGTCTTTTAAACAGGGCATTTATATCAGAATTATGACTTATAATTTTGTCTTTTTATCTAATATGACCTTTAATGTCATCATTTTGCTTTTTTGTATTAATTATATTAAAATTCTGTTTCATTTTATAAAAGTATACGATGACGTAAAAAGTCAGAATTAAGAAGTAAAAAGTTTATACTTTTTTAAAATATAATTTTGACTTTTATCTTATAATAATTTTTTTTATCTCATAAATATGACTTAACATATCATAATTTCATCTGTTTGTCATAATTGCGACTTTTGATGTCTTAACTTTTGTCTTTTAAACATGACATTTATATCAGAATTATGAAATATAATTTTGTCTTTTTATCTAATATGACCTTTAATGTCATCATTTTGCTTTTTTTATTAATCATATTAAAATTCTGTTTCATTTTATAAATGACATCTATGTGCTTATGACTTTTTATGTCATAAATTTCCACTTTTTATGTAATACATTTGGGTTAGTATGTCATCATTTTGTCTTTTTATATCATAATCTTCACTTTTCATTTCATAAACATTACTTACTATGTCATCACTTTTTGTATAATTTTTTTGACTTTATGTCACAATTATGCTTCACCAAAGCACTCTTTTTCTGTGTGGCGGAATTGAGCTTCCATAGCTGCACGTGTTTTCACCATGAGCCCGACTGCAGTGCGATGCTCCGCCAGAGGAGGCGCCTCGGTACTCAACAGTTTCTTCTGTTCCTCGACCAGCTCGAGTGCCGCCGCTGGCTGCTGCTGGCAGTTTTACGCGAGGAACTCCCGAACTACTTCGGCAACCAGTTATAACGGTCGACATGGCGACCGAGGAAATAATCAAGCGTTTTCTTAAGAAAAGATGAAGATAGCCGATACACGGTAAGAATGAGTGAGTGTGCATTTGTTATTGTGCGCCTGTGGCTTGCAGAGTAGCGCATTTTGCGTGCATTATGTGTTCGTTTCTGGGTGTGGACCGCACACGGCTGCTAACGGCTAATCTGATAGCACGCTTGCAACATTTAGCCGCCCGGCTAGCCTTGTGTAGCTTTGGCTTGGACTATTTGTTTGTATTTTCAGTCAGGTTTGGGGCTTACTTGGTGATTAGTTCGTGCCATATGCAGATTTTGGCGTTGTCTTTGTCAGTAATTTGGATTTCAGCCGTGTATTCGGTTGAAATAGCAATTCGGCAGCCAGTGTAACGTTAGCTTGGGGAGCTGAACTGAATGCTGTGTTTACACGGGCCTCCGCTTACAAAAATAGCTATTTACAGTAATCCACGTGATTGTGTATTTGCATCTGTTCTTGCCACATGTCATGTGTCCGCTAAAGTGTTTTGACAGTGGGGTGGATAATAATCTAGTGTTTTGGTCAGGTTTAGCGGTTGCCGTGTTACATAATCGAGGGATCTCTTGTGTTTTAGCCTAAACAGATATCCCGTAAAATCTAAAAATGTCGCCTTTATCATGTGATTTACGCTCGTTTCACCTCATACATTAGGAAATGTGCAAAAAAAAACACGGTTTAACTCCTTGTCTATACTCGCAATCCTTGTAAAAATTTGACTGTGTGTATGCTATTAGCGTATTCAGTCCAGATAGAGATTGGAGCCAGTCAGCATTGTGTTAGCTCGATAGCTAATGGAGATGGACAGTGGAGAACAATGTTAAACTTAAAGGGGGCATATGATGTTGCTAAAAAGAACATTATGTTGTGTATTTGGTGTAATGAAATGTGTTTATGCGGTTTAAGGAAAAAAAACACATTATTTTCCACATACTGTACATTATTGTTTCTCCTCTATGCCCCGCCTTTCTGAAACGCGTCGATTTTTACAAAGCTCATCGGTCTGAAAAGCGAGGTGTGCTGTGATTGGCCAGCTATCCAGTGCATTGTGATTGGCCGAATACCTCAAGCGTGTGACGGAAATGTTACGCCCCTCACCATACTGTGATGCCCTGTCCAGAATTATGGATTATAATGATTTATACTGTCTTTTTACGTGGTGAGTTGCATCGCGCCGCGTAAACATAAAACCATGTCTGCATTTGTGATCAGAGAAATGACAAACTACAAGCGCTACTCTACACTGCTCAAAACTCGCGTTTGAATCATCAGTGGCAAATCCTTTAAATATAAAAAACGTACTTACAGTCTGTGAGTGAGAACAGCCGGCATTGTAGTCTACTCTCCCAGGATCAGGAAACAGTCCTCCATAAAATGTGCTGCACACATCTGAATATTTGGGTTGAACTGTTCTGGAACAGTGTTGTAAATACAACTTAACCACTGATTTCTAGTCGTGTCCTCTTTTGGAAGACCAAACAAAGTAGTTTCGCTTTCACAACAAAACACACAGCGTCTTCACGACATGGCGGCGGAAACAATGCTACAGCGAGAATAAAAGTTACGCCTTCTTTCTTTGCGTGAACATTTGGGCGGCGTTATGCAAATCTTCCCACATAGTGATGTAGACATGTGGGGGCGTGTTAGAACGAGCCGTTTTAGGTAGGTGTGGCTGACTCTTAACTTTTATAAAGAATATCACTTTGGATTTGAGACTTTAGTCTTTGCAACTTTACAGATCTTCTTTATGCACCAAGAGCTTGTAACACTCCAAAGAGAAAGGAACAATTTAAATCGCATCATATGACCCCTTTAACAAATTTGGTTTATTTTTAGCAGGTAAATGTTAATTGTGCATGTTGCTGTCAAACATGTACATACGAGTAAAAGTAATGCTTATACATTCAAAATAGCTTGAACTATGTGAAGTTGAGTTTATTGACAGACGAGTTAACGTTAGCTGTGGGTAGCCTGTTTACTTGAGGCAAAACACCACAGGTAAATAGGGTAGCAATTTTAACTAATAAATACCATCATAATTTTTCTTCAGACAACTGATTTATAATACAAGTTTTCTGAAATGTTGTGTTTTAATATGCTACTTAACTATTATCTAATTAAGTATGCACTAATTAGCATACATTACCAGAACAGAAAGTCTGGATAAAGCAAGGTTCAAAATTCTTCTTTCGTTTTGTTTACAGAGTAAAAGGTTTTACATAGAGGATTTTGAATCTCTTTTTATCACTCCATAAATGAGAAAATATCTGCCGGGGAAAATGTTTTATAAATCGGGTAAATTATAGGCTACATGATCAAACTTCTTTTTGAAAACCATTTGAATATAGATTGCAATGAAACTAAAGTTTGGAGTAAGTGCTGCTGCGAATAGATCAAGTGTAAAGAAATAAAAAAATTAAATGTGTATTCTGGATGTTTTCTTTCCACTAATCTGAAAGAAGACATCTTATAGAAGCAGAATAGGCCAAAATCTTAAAATTGAAATCAGCTCAACACAAATGCTTTTCAGAAATTAAGAAATTATTCTGCCTCAAGAGGGTTTCAAAAATGTATTCTTCTAATAAATATTTAAACTGTAGTCTTTTTGTTAGTTTTCTTGTTTGTTTGGGTAGCAACAGCTGCCAGACGTGGTTGATTGAAAATGCGTCAGTTGGTTCCTGTATTTTACCGTGTAATTGTGTTGGTTAATAATGTGCATCATGTGAACCCACTACTAAAGATAGACTGTTTTCTAATTTCCATATTTGTCTTTTGTTCCAGGTTTCAGGTTTCACACCATGTGATGATCACCCGGGACGTGTGAACTTATTTAAGAACTCCTGTGTAGAGAAGATTTTTTGATTCCAGTGGAATCTTTCTTTCTTTCTTTTTTCCATTTATTATTCCCTTTTTGTTAAATGACACACCCAGTCGCACGCACACCCAAGAGAAAGCCCCCCACCCTTGTTTACATGTAGAACAACCTTGCTACGATGCCTGTACAAGCTCCACAATGGACCGAGTTTTTACTGTGCCCCATATGCACCCAGACGTTCGAGGAGACGGTGCGTCGGCCCATCAGTCTGGGTTGCGGCCACACCGTTTGCAAGATGTGCCTCAACAAGCTGCACCGCAAGGCTTGTCCCTTTGACCAGACGGCCATCAATACTGACATCGAGCAGCTGCCCGTCAACTCGGCCCTTTTACAGCTGGTCGGGGGTCAGGTGAGGCATTTCAACCGTGTTTACTGAATAGCATAACTAGGGCTCTGATAGTAGTGATTTTTAAAGCACCGTGGTGGTAAAGGGCCAACCATTGGTGGTTTTGCAGTGTTTTGGTTTAGTTTTTGTCAGTTTAATCACCATTCTATAATAATGTTCTGCATTGAAGCACTCATAGAGATCTGAGATCACACTGCGCACACACAAAAACATTCAGGAGCACAGAAACATTTTGTCAACACTACCGACATGATATGTATTAAAGGGGTCATATGATGGATTTTTTAAAGATCATTATTTGGTGTAACAGAATATGTTGACATGCTTTAATGTTCAAAATGGCTTTGATAGCATACTAAAAGCTATAATGACATTGTATGTTTTTGAAGTAAATCAACTTGCAACTTCAGTATTATTAGAGGCAAACTGCACAGATGTAGGAAATTCACATGCACAGTTTCTCTCTCTCTTGTTAATTCGTAAAAAAAAGTCATCCCAGTGTCTGATTTAAAGCATGCAGAATGCTAGATCTAAAGACTCGATGCCAAAATAACATCACATGGTTTCTTGTTTCCAAGGCGTTCATTCAGATTGTGTAACGCACATCTATGAATTTTCTTATACATGCAGTATTTTTTGTGCAAATTACATTAAAATGAAACAATATGGCATCCTTGAGCATGGAAAGCACAATTACACACAAATTCGGTGAGGTTTCAGCCAAACTACGCCAAATAAGTTTGTTTCCCCAACCAAGATAAAAGTATATACCCGGTCTGCACTTTGCTAGGGAAAACAAGCAGTTCTCTATCTTTTATGGTTTCATATTTTTCCTGATATTCCAAAGCAACTGATGATATGTAAAGTTTGGAAGAGAGAGCTTATCTTTCACAAAAGCTACAAACTAAATTAACAGCGTGTGTAAATTGCATTCTACAGATAAATTTAATGTTCTTTACCTTGCCTAATTAATACCAACTGTGTTAAAATATGAGGAGAGAGAAAGAGTGAAAAACAAGATATTTTTGAAGCCTACAAACACACGCTGTGACCAGTAAAATTACTAATAAATACTTATATAGCCTAAATAAATACATCTCACCCTTAGTCTTTTTTTTTTTGTGAGTGATTGTTTTGGGAAGAGAAACGAGTGATTCCATGTGTAGTTCAGTTTTCCATTTGTGGGGAAATCCGGTGACCAGATCACAAGACAATTCAGCGCCAACATAAATTTATGGACTGATGTACCCCTCGTTCAGCACACATCCAAGTGTTTCCATATTTGCAATATTTAGTTGCTAAAGTTTTGTTTCTTTTGTAAATAAAGCTTTGTACTTAAATTGTGTTCAGTTATGATCATACATTTTTTGCACACCACCGCCAATGATATCATGCCATTGTGGTGGTGCTCTACCGCTGCGGTAATGCGGTCGTCTCCCTCGATAGCACAGCCCTAAGCATAACCACAGTTTTTCAGATCTCTCACTGTGTGCTTCATTTAATTTGTCTTTTTCTCTCAGGTGTCCAAACAGCAACCTGTGGCGCTCATTACGTGTCCAGAGGACACCAAGCATTATGATGAGGCACGGCAGTGCGTTGAGGAGCTGGCCCTCTACCTCAAACCCCTCAGCAGTGCACGAGGTAACTGACATGCTCACATATGCTCTTAAAAGTAGTTATGCAATTCAGTGAATTTTATGAAAATCGACATTTTTTTCTAAATCAGAATTTTCATTTAGCCAAAAAAGAAAATAAAGTTTATTTATTAATCTGTTTGTTAATCAAATGTAGGAATCAACATTTAAATAATAAATGTTGAGTTTTATACAAACATTCAAATTTTATATTAGTCAGTTTTATATGAACTTTATAATATGATATATTTAGTTTCTACACCAATTCATTGTTGAAATATAAGCATTTATAGTGTAGCTGTAACAATTCATAAATCATGACATCCTTATTCAAACTTCCATTAAATAATGAAGATATCACTAACAGGTTACGTGAAATTACATTGAATTTGTAATGTAGTGCATATTTAGCGAAATGCTCCTTTCTAGAGTTATATATTCTAGCTAACTAATGAGCTGTAGATATTGAAATGTAATGTTACATGACATAATCTTTCTGCTGTTGAAACGCTGATTGAACAATTACATAAGATATGATGCATTTAAAAAAATTGTTTAAATTTAATGATAAAATTGAAATGCTGTATCTTACTCACGGTGTGGGGAAGAAATAGTTGCTGACAGTTAGAATGTCAACGGACAAGCACTAATTAAACATCACTGTTTCAGTCATTTTACTAGAAAATTGAGTTATATAATGATTAAAAAATGCCGCCTCACAATTTTTTTATTTTTTTTTTAATGAAACCGGTTCAGACAAATAACAGAATGATTGATAAGATACATTTAGAAAATAGCTTTATTTCATGCCGTATAAGCCAGTATAATGGGCATGGCCAAGTGATTGTTGCATATTTTTGGCTGTATCTAGGAGTGGGGTTAAGTAATGCTGCTCAGAGCATGCTGAGCCGCCCCATGCAGAGGAAGCTGGTGACTCTGGTGCACTGTCAGCTGGTGGAAGAGGAAGGACGGGTCAGGGCCATGCGGGCGGCCCGTTCTCTGGGCGAAAGAACTGTTACTGAGCTCATTTTGCAGCACCAAAACCCCCAGCAGCTCTCCTCCAACCTGTGGGCTGCTGTCAGAGCCAGAGGCTGCCAGTTCCTGGGCCCCGGTAAGATGACGCTTTAAATCCTGTTCACACCAACACGAATGGTCATCGCCAAAATTTGGTCTTGTGGAACTTCTGGTGTCTTATATGTGACCCTTTTTATCTACAGCCATGCAGGAGGAGGCACTAAAGCTGGTGCTGTTGGCCTTGGAAGACGGATCCGCTCTTTCCAGGAAGGTTTTGGTCCTCTTTGTGGTCCAGAGACTAGAACCAAGATTTCCTCAGGCCTCCAAAACCAGTATTGGACATGTTGTTCAGCTCCTCTACCGTGCCTCCTGCTTCAAGGTAGGTGCCTTTAATTGTGCACTTGATTTCATCTGATGAGATGTTTTTTTGCAATTATGTTTTCTAATTCATATCCAGATCTGTTGAGATTATTTAGATTCTGATGTTCTTAATGTGCAAATGAACTTTTTCAGCACCTCGACAGCTTATTTGCAATAACATTAGCAGCTGTAGTTCTGAGGTTTCAGTTGAATCTCTTCTGTATCGTAGGTGACTAAGCGAGATGAGGATTCATCACTAATGCAGTTGAAAGAGGAGTTCCGCACATATGAGGCACTTCGGAGGGAACACGACTCTCAGATTGTTCAAATCGCAATGGAGGGAGGCCTCCGCATCGCCCCCGATCAGTGGTCTTCTCTGCTGTATGGAGACCAGTCTCATAAATCTCACATGCAGTCCATCATTGACAAGGTATAACGGCTGTCTGTTTGCACTCTTTCAAATGCCAGACGTAGTATTATGTTTCAGAATAATGAATCAAGGGAATATGACTGTTCGTCTTTCAGCTGCAGACCCCGGCATCGTTTGCTCAGAGTGTGCAGGAGCTGACCATCGCGCTGCAGAGGACGGGTGACCCTGCCAATCTCAACCGGCTGAGACCTCACCTCGAATTGCTTGCTAACATTGACCCCAGTCCAGGTGTGTTAAGACAGACAAACCTAATATGATGACTGAGCATCTGAGAAACTGAATTAAAGCTTAGCGGTATGACGGAATATGTAATGACAGTGAAGACATTTATTCAATTTATTTAAAGAATTGAAAAATGTTATCGTGATTTCCACATGGATGATTTAAGAAGGATTATGTGACACTTAAGACTGGAGAAGTTGCTGTGGAAAATGTATATGCTAATTGCCATCACAGGAATGAATTTAAATTTTTAAATAGTTAACAGTAGAAGGCAGTTTTTTTTAAATTGTGGAATATTAAACAATATTAGTGTTTTTACTAGCTGTTTCCATCACCCTGTTTTTATGCGCATTTTGAAGTATCGCATCAGAAACGAGTGATGGAAACAGCAAATTTCGAATAAAAATCCCTTAATTAGCAAAAGTTTTTACTCTCGCTTGAGGTGGTTTTTGACTTTTGTGAAAAAGGGTTAAAAGTCCCTATGAAATCAAAATTAAAGTTTTTTGGGTGTTAGTATCAATATGTTGGTCTTAAGGTTATCTATAAGGCACTGTGCTCCAAAACAGTGACAAAATTCGCATTTAGAAGATATAAGCATTCAAAGCTTGCAGTTCGTCCGCAAATTTCGAATAAAAATCCCTTAATTAGCAAAAGTTTTTACGCTCGCTTGAGGTGGTTTTTGACTTTTGTGAAAAAGGGTTAAAAGTCCCTATGAAATCAAAATTAAAGTTTTTTGGGTGTTAGTATCAATATGTTGGTCTTAAGGTTATCTATAAGGCAGTGTGCTCCAAAACAGTGACAAAATTCGCATTTAGAAGATATAAGCATTCAAAGCTTGCAGTTCGTCACTTCCGCCAAAACGGCTCAACGATTTTTTTTGACGTCACATCGCACTTCAGCTTCTCATAAAACTTTCTGTCCAAACAAATGCTCTCTAGAATCCGAAGCACCCGCCCCCTACACTATAAATCAAAGCTTGCAGTTCGTCACTTCCGCCAAAACGGCTCAACGATTTTTTTTGACGTCACATCGCACTTCAGCTTCTCATCAAACTTTCTGTCCAAACAAATGCTCTCTAGAATCCGAAGCACCCGCCCCTACACTATAAAATAGATGCTGAAACCGCGGCTGAAATCGGTCACTTGTACACAGAATTAGTATTTTCAGTGAATGGCACGTAGTGCACTATATAGGGGAGAGGGAAAGATTCAAACAGTGTAAATATGCTTTCCATTGAGGAAAAAGATAAGTCTGGTTTCCTCTAGAATCCGAAGCACCCGCCCCCTACACTATAAAATATATGCTGAAGCCGCGGCTGAAATCGGTCACTTGTACACAGAATTAGTATTTTCAGTGAATGGCACGTAGTGCACTATATAGGGGAGAGGGAAAGATTCAAACAGTGTAAATATGCTTTCCATTGAGGAAAAAGATAAGTCTGGTTTCGCGCTGTCACGCTAACCACCGCACCGCACACACACTGCTCCGGTCCAGAGACACGATAGCACGGAGCGGATCACATGCGCGAGTCGGTGCAGACCACAAAATGTATCGGAGCTATTTGAATTCTACACAGAATGCTATATTTTATAGCAATATGGATGAGATTGTGGCTGGCATACCCTGTCAAATGCGGCATATAAAAAAAAATGTAATAATGCAATAATAATAATATTAAAAAATTTAGAATATGTGCAGTGCTTTTAGTGTGAATTTAAAAATAACTATATTCTGATATATACTGTGAAAATCAATTTGTATGAAATTACTCCCACTGTAATTTAAGGTTTAAGGTCATGGCACCCACCCCTAGAGTGAATTAGTAACATGCTCCTGTTCTGTTCTGTGATCAGTTTTGCTTTGGTTCATTTTTATTCAGATGCTCCTCCTCCTACCTGGGAGCAGCTGGAGAAGGGGCTGGTGGCGGTAAAGACGGTGGTGCATGGCCTAGTGGACTTCATCCAGAACCACAGCAAGAAGGGTGCCGACACGCAGCAGCCACCACAGCACAGCAAATACAAGACATACATGTGCAGAGATATGAAGCAGAAAGGAGGCTGTCCTAGAGGAGCCAGCTGCACATTCGCCCATTCTCAGGAGGAGCTGGAAAAGTGAGCGCCGTTGCATGTCTGGTTAGTGTTAAACCACAAACTTGTTTAATAATCAGAATCTCATTTGGTGTTCACTCTGCAGGTACCGTAAAATGAACAAACGTCTTGCTGCACGAGTGCCCTGCACCCCTGGCCTGCTTCCTGAGGAGGTGGTCCCGCTGGAGCCTGGGCGAAAGGCCTCTACGTTTACCAATGGGGGCCCTCTTCCCCAGCTCATCCCCAGAGGCACAGACCCCTCTACATATGACCTCTTACTCAAGCCCAAGATGGATGCCACTAGCCTGAGTGCTCCTGGGTCGCCACCCGACTCGTAAGCCTTTGTTTCTCAGTTTGACTTCTCGTTCCTTGCTTTTCTGTTATGACTACAGTATCTGAATTCTTTAGACCGCAAGAGTGATGGCAAAATTGCTGAGATAGTGAGAAGTTGTGCTTAGTTGGTTTGGATTTAACAGGAAGGAACAACATGTTACCACTGACTCATTTCTTCCTCTTGTTTTTCTTAAGTTTGGATAAATCTAGCTTGGCCCTGACACCCCACCCTGTGCCTCACCCCAGGGCGGAGCACTTACCCATGCCCAAGCAGGTGCCAGTCTTGCCCAGAGGTGCGCCACAGATGTATCCACAACAGCAGCCCCAGCTCTTCTATCCAGAGCCAGCCAGACCTCCTCCCTCAGGATCTCAGTATGATGCTCAGTACCCAACAGGTGAGTGGATTTGCTCATATGGATGGTTGTCTGAACAGCTTATGAAGTCCTCTGCTCTCAAGATTCTTGGAGCTATTTAATGCCAGTGTTGTTTCTCAGAGTTTCACACAAAATTGATATTTGAAGTTTTCATTTAATACTGTGTCCAGGTCATTACAAAAAAGATGTAAAGAAGAATTCTGGGTACTTCCGACCAACAAATTGACAAACTAGGCTAATTTGTTAACATGTGAAGATGTATATGCTAAATAATTCACTCGAATGTCTCAGTTGATAATTGTCTTAAGCCCTATTCGGACGGGATTAGTTTTACATGGAGAGGTGGGGTAAAGTCATTTTTACAAGAGCTTCCTAGTGTTTTTAGTCCCGTCCGAATGTGCCATCTCCGTAATCATTACGGACGATGTCAGTAAAGATTACGGCGACTTTTACCTTCTGTAAAAAGGTCTGGAAGAATTACCTCAGGTAATACTAATGCCGTGCGAATAGACCAGCTGTAAATATGTACGTAAATATTCCATAATTTGCTATTTAAAAGTAGTTTTCCGTGTTTTTTCCACGCTTGAAGAAGCATGAAGTTGCGTTCTCGGCGGTGGGGCAAATCTGTGACAAACCTTGCATGTTTTCTGCATATGACAATGCCAGTGGTGTAATGCAATGGTTCTCAACCGGTGGGCCTTCGAGAGCCATCGAGTGCCATCTAGTGGGCCGTGTAGGCAGTGGTAGACTACCCCAAATAAATTTTCATTTATTTTTTAATTGACAAATCTTGTTATTTTGTAATTATCTAATTGTTCTTATGAATTTATATGATCAAAAACACTCAAGTCAATATGCATTATCTAAAAGCTAATTTATATTTAAATATCGCAACACCAATCACGTCACAATGTCAGATTGAACGTTTGTTCGATCAGATGCAGTAACTACGTTACTGTAATATGGATCGTTTTCTGAAAAGAAAAGCCGATTTGGGAGACAGACCTGTGCAAGCAAAAGCTTCGAAGTGTGTGGTGAGGAAATACGACACTGAATACATTAAATTTGGTTTTATAAGGGCAGGTACTGAGACTAAGCCGAAGGCGCAGTGTGTTGAATGTGGAAACTAAAACCAACAAAGCTGCAGAGACATTTGAATTCAAAACACCCGGACTGTGTTGGGAAGCCAAAAGAATATTTTCGAAGGAAAAAAGATGGGCTTCAGGCCCAACATCGTTATCAACTCAATCAAAAGTTACCTTGAAAGCTAGCTAAATGGTTGCCGCTTGTGTTGCTCGTAGTAAGAAAGCCTTTACTATCGCTGAGAAGCTTATTTTGCCAAGTGCTGTGGATATGTGTCGATAGTTACTGGGTGATGCAGCTGCAACCAAAATTCAGTCAATACCACTTTCCGATGACACCGTGGCTAGACGAATTGTTGACATGAGCGATGACATTGAATGCCAACTTGTGGAACGAATAAAGGCAAGCACTTATTTTGCCATACAGCTGGACGAGTCAACGGACATAAGCAACGCCACGTTACTGTTAGTTTTTGTCCGATACTGCATGGACAGTAATCTTTGTGAAGATCTGCTATTTTACGAAGAACTTCCAACGAGAACAACGGCAGATAATGTCGTGCACTGCCTTGATGAGTACTTCACTGAAAAAGGTCTTGATTGGAAATACTGCTCAGGTATTTGCACAGACGGCGCGGCTGCTATTACGGGAAAACATTGCGGTGTCGTTAAACAAAAAAGCGAGTGCCAGAAGCAGAGTGGACGCACTGTTTCTTGCACAGGGAAAGTCTTGCAACAAAGCAGATGTCACCAGAACTGCATGAGGTCATGAACATTGCTGTGAAAACTGTTAACTATATTAAGAAAAATGCACTCAACTCAAAGTGTTTTGCAGCTCTGTGTGAACGACTTGATGCTGATTATTTGCAGCTCTTGTACCACAGGGAAATACGGTGGCTTTCAAGAAGATGTGTGCTTAATTGTCTTTTTGAACTGAGAAAAGAAGTGCACACATTTCTGGAAGAGCAACGCTCCCCTCTTGCTGAGCATTACACTGATGATAAATTTTGTGCAAAACTGGCCTACTTATCTGATATATTTGATCAGTTAAATCAGCTGAATGTATCAATGCAAGGCAGAAACAGTCAGGATCTCAGTATGATGCTCAGTACCCAACAGGTGAGTGGATTTGCTCATATGGATGGTTGTCTGAACAGCTTATGAAGTCCTCTGCTCTCAAGATTCTTGGAGCTATTTAATGCCAGTGTTGTTTCTCAGAGTTTCACACAAAATTGATATTTGAAGTTTTCATTTAATACTGTGTCCAGGTCATTACAAAAAAGATGTAAAGAAGAATTCTGGGTACTTCCGACCAACAAATTGACAAACTAGGCTAATTTGTTAACATGTGAAGATGTATATGCTAAATAATTCACTCGAATGTCTCAGTTGATAATTGTCTTAAGCCCTATTCGGACGGGATTAGTTTTACATGGAGAGGTGGGGTAAAGTCATTTTTACAAGAGCTTCCTAGTGTTTTTAGTCCCGTCCGAATGTGCCATCTCCGTAATCATTACGGACGATGTCAGTAAAGATTACGGCGACTTTTACCTTCTGTAAAAAGGTCTGGAAGAATTACCTCAGGTAATACTAATGCCGTGCGAATAGACCAGCTGTAAATATGTACGTAAATATTCCATAATTTGCTATTTAAAAGTAGTTTTCCGTGTTTTTTCCACGCTTGAAGAAGCATGAAGTTGCGTTCTCGGCGGTGGGGCAAATCTGTGACAAACCTTGCATGTTTTCTGCATATGACAATGCCAGTGGTGTAATGCAATGGTTCTCAACCGGTGGGCCTTCGAGAGCCATCGAGTGCCATCTAGTGGGCCGTGTAGGCAGTGGTAGACTACCCCAAATAAATTTTCATTTATTTTTTAATTGACAAATCTTGTTATTTTGTAATTATCTAATTGTTCTTATGAATTTATATGATCAAAAACACTCAAGTCAATATGCATTATCTAAAAGCTAATTTATATTTAAATATCGCAACACCAATCACGTCACAATGTCAGATTGAACGTTTGTTCGATCAGATGCAGTAACTACGTTACTGTAATATGGATCGTTTTCTGAAAAGAAAAGCCGATTTGGGAGACAGACCTGTGCAAGCAAAAGCTTCGAAGTGTGTGGTGAGGAAATACGACACTGAATACATTAAATTTGGTTTTATAAGGGCAGGTACTGAGACTAAGCCGAAGGCGCAGTGTGTTGAATGTGGAAACTAAAACCAACAAAGCTGCAGAGACATTTGAATTCAAAACACCCGGACTGTGTTGGGAAGCCAAAAGAATATTTTCGAAGGAAAAAAGATGGGCTTCAGGCCCAACATCGTTATCAACTCAATCAAAAGTTACCTTGAAAGCTAGCTAAATGGTTGCCGCTTGTGTTGCTCGTAGTAAGAAAGCCTTTACTATCGCTGAGAAGCTTATTTTGCCAAGTGCTGTGGATATGTGTCGATAGTTACTGGGTGATGCAGCTGCAACCAAAATTCAGTCAATACCTCTTTCCGATGACACCGTGGCTAGACGAATTGTTGACATGAGCGATGACATTGAATGCCAACTTGTGGAACGAATAAAGGCAAGCACTTATTTTGCCATACAGCTGGACGAGTCAACGGACATAAGCAACGCCACGTTACTGTTAGTTTTTGTCCGATACTGCATGGACAGTAATCTTTGTGAAGATCTGCTATTTTACGAAGAACTTCCAACGAGAACAACGGCAGATAATGTCGTGCACTGCCTTGATGAGTACTTCACTGAAAAAGGTCTTGATTGGAAATACTGCTCAGGTATTTGCACAGACGGCGCGGCTGCTATTACGGGAAAACATTGCGGTGTCGTTAAACAAAAAAGCGAGTGCCAGAAGCAGAGTGGACGCACTGTTTCTTGCACAGGGAAAGTCTTGCAACAAAGCAGATGTCACCAGAACTGCATGAGGTCATGAACATTGCTGTGAAAACTGTTAACTATATTAAGAAAAATGCACTCAACTCAAAGTGTTTTGCAGCTCTGTGTGAACGACTTGATGCTGATCATTTGCAGCTCTTGTACCACAGTGAAATACGGTTGCTTTCAAGAGGATGTGTGCTTAATCGTCTTTTTGAACTGAGAAAAGAAGTGCACACATTTCTGGAAGAGCAACGCTCCCCTCTTGCTGAGCATTACACTGATGATCAATTTTGTGCAAAACTGGCCTACTTATCTGATATATTTGATCAGTTAAATCAGCTGAATGTATCAATGCAAGGCAGAAACAG